CCCAATGTTTCCTGGTGTTCTTGACGGCTTTGGTCCACTGATGTCATAAATTCGAATCTTTTGGGAACCCATAAAGACTTACGCGATCGCCGTGTGTGTTACTACACCCGCCAACAACACAGCGTTTCCCCATGAAAACGATCGTGGTAACTCGTTGTATATGATGGTAACTCGTAAGAATTCTCGATCTTGGTAACTCGTTGTATATGTTTACGAAACGCGTGCGTATGGAAAATGATAAACAATCCTGTCTGCTAGCTAGCTCATGCTTTATGCTCCCGTTGGTGGCGCCATTTCGGTTACACTCGTAATGCCGAAAAAACTCGAAGGTGATGGGAGAGGGGGGCGTGGCGCGATTTCGGAATATCATTGACTGTTTACCCAATTTATATACCCTTTTCACTTGATTTTTTTTCATAATGTTGTTTATAAATAAATTTTGCACACAAAAAAAGTCAATTGTCCCAATTCAGTTACACTTTAAGTTTTACTAACTGACCAAATAGGGAAGTGCAAAGTTTCTAATATCCAGAAAATTGCTATCTAAATAAATTTTTAAAGCTTAGGAAATGATGATGGGGCAAAAATTAAAATGTTATTTTAAAAATTTTATGTCCTCATTTATCTTGCCAAGGACAGATTCAGTATCAAATAGGACAGGTACTTTTATTCACCAACCTGTCCAATGGACGAGAAAATTTAATTTTTATTTCAACCCTGTATAGAGGTGCTGTATATGTATATTTTATAACAATAACAGTAAACAACTTTTTATCGGCTGTGAAATACCGATTTTTGCCAACAAATTATCGCACACACGCATTTAATGTAAACAAACTGCGACAGCCAATAGGGAGGGTTTAGAGATCAACTATATTTGTTTAAAGCGAGAGGGTGGTCACCTGCGCGCATGCAGGAATTGAGCCCCAAGTGACGATAACAACACACGCTAAAACGCAAAGGCTCATGGGTAGATGCTTGTTTGTAAACAATGACACGCAATGGCCATCTGATGCATGCGTAGTTGACGACTTCCCCGCTTTAAGTAAACCACACATTTTTATTGTTCTACATCAGTCCCACCTACTGGGGTATCGCTCCGAACTGAACCAGAAACGGCAAGAGAAGGTGAAAGGGTTGTCATAGTATGCACATCATCTAGTAGTAATCCACCATCAGAAATCACATGGTTTAAGGATGGAGTCCAAGACATTGGTGAGTATATTTAAATACCTGTAAATTACTTTAAATTAATATTGTACGATCTCAGCATAACTTAACATTTAACTAGCTGGCTTGCTTTAAAAATTACCATATGGCAAAATTAATTGCTGTGTCAAATAGGTGTCAACGCTATCTAGCGTAGGTGTCAACTGGCGGCACACCGCCCGGTACTCAACATTACAGTCAACCAGTGTACGCGGATTACATTGCGAAGGTTGCAAATAAAAGCAGCTTTAACTTCTATTTCCATGTAGTGCTTTTTGTTTAATATTCATTTTAGTGTTTATATCAAAAAGTTCGTTCAGTCGTATGCATAGAATCGATCTTTGCTCTTCACACTGCAAAGGAAACGTGACAGCACAATATTTAATAAATTGCCATGACCAGCTAGCACACTCTCCATAACATGTGAAATTTGTTTTTCGTTTCGGTAAAATTAGTATGAACCCGTGGTCTACGATTAAAGAATCATAGAATTATAATTGTAGTCAGTAAAAATGGGTGGTCACAGAAGGGTCACAGAATTCTTGTGTCACGCGCCGCCGGTTACAGGAAAACAATGGCAGGTTTCAAAAGTAGTCACACCTCGAAGAGGTGTTAAATTTGCCATCTTCGAAGTTGACCTTCGCAATGTAATCCGCGTACACTGGTCCCGGGACACTGGTCGACTGTAATGTTGAGTACCGGGCGGCGTGCGCCGGTTGACACCTAGGCTAGATAGCACTTTTTCTAGGTCGTACATACCTGGTTAGGATCCCAAATAATTCTGTTGCCAATAAAATCACAGTAGCGATCTGCACCAATTATATTGTCAACAATTTGTCATCGATTTTGCTCAAGCTTGGTACATACATTAGACTTTATAGCACCTTGATTTTGTTTTTCAGATCGGATTCAAAATTGCCATTTTGTTTTAATCATTATGGTTCTAATGCCACATCTCTGACATGCTTTGACTGATTATGTTCAAATTTTATATATTCATTATGCATCATGTAATAGATATATAGATATATTGGTTTGACCGTCTGATTCAAAATGGCCGAATGGAGGCCATTTTTCTGCTAAAAATCATCAAAAATCAAGCACTTCTGGCATTCCGGAACCAGATCTTGGCAGTTTATGGATGAATTTCGTTCACACTTAGTACATACATTAGACATTATTGGTTCTTGATGACGTCATCTTGTTTTTTCAGATCAGATTCAAAATAGCTGACTAGCTGCTATTTTGTTTTAATGATTGCAGTTCTAGTGCCATATCTCTGACATGCTTTGACTGATTATGTTCATATTTTATATATTCATTATGCATCATGTCATGGATATACAGATGTGATCAAAATGGCGGATGCTGGTAGTTTATGGATGAATTTCGTTCAAACTTGGTACATACATTAGACATTATTTGTTCTTGATGAACGTCAATCTGTAAAAAAAATATGTGCATCAAAAACCTATTATATGTTCAATGGATATATTAAATTATAAAGGAAATATGTCCATACACGACCAGGATTCAGTTCCGGAATAGCAGAAATACTTGATTTAGATGTATTTTTAGCACTAAAACTCATTTGGATCTTGGAACAAATGCATCTGCTTATGTAAAATATGAATAAGTGTATGTGTGAAGTTTTAAAAAGGGATGCAGTCAAGATGACCCCAAAGAAATCACACATCCTGGTTCTTTCTGGAGGTATATAAAAATATATATTTAATCCACTTTACAGCACAGTTCAGATGTTTTTGTAATATTAGTCTGTTGCTATGGTAACATATTTTTTAGCAAAACATTATTAAGCTTTCTAAAAATATATGGTGGAATTTGCCCCCTCAAATGGTACTGTTAGGCTATTTGGGGTGGTTGCCTCATGTACTACTAGTGTTAAATTTTATCAAGATATTGTTGAAGAATGCTATCCAATTTCTGTTGTACTAACTTGATTTCAGTTGTTCTAGATAGAAGTCTGTTCTTCTTGACAGTTAATGTTACTGTTCCATTGTAGGTATGGATAATGGTACAATTGAAGGCGACAATGGCGGATCTAGTTCTGTGAGTTTCTTTATACTCGAAGAAGTATCAGCGGATGACTATGGAAAACACTTTCTATGTAGAGCAACAAATCCTAAACTTGGTGAAAGTGCTAATGATGCTGTCACACTTGGTGTTCAATGTAAGAAACATTTCAGTCTGTTCCAAATCACCGGTAGCATAGTGGCCGTCGCATCAAACTCATGCATGATGACAGTGAAGAATAAACAGCCTTAATTTGGTTCTTAAAGGGGTACCTTCCAAGCCCAGGGATTGCACCAAAGAATCATGGGACACTATTGTTTATGCTGTTTACAAAGTTAATCTATCTTTTGCTATCCGTTGTCCTTTTAATCCAGAAAGTAAATTTGTTGTGAGATTAGGCTTAACTGGGAGTGCTCCTTTAAATTAGAAATTAGTTGTTTTTGAAAGATAAACTGAGCATTAAAGAAGAATTTAACACTTTTTCGGTGATAACAGCTCATTATCAAAACAAAGTTTACCCACTCAGGCTAGCCATAATAAAAATTGTACTCTTAAATAGGCATCAGAGACTATGAAAAATCTAAATTACTGTAAAATGACTAATTTTCACTGGGTTTAAATTTCACTGATTTACCATTTCAGGCATATTCAGTGGGTTTTAAATTCACGGTTTCGTCATTTAGATAATGTGTTCTATGCTAAATTTTACATATTCACTGTGTTTTAATTTAGCGCATTTTTCCAGTCAGCGAAATAAGCTAAATTAAAACCCAGTGAATAATTACCCCCTTTACAG